GTTATTTTTGTCTTTGTATCTTTGTCTTATGTACTTTATTCCTTATTTCCTGTTTTATTTCCAAATACTCACCTTCCGTTTTGTAAATTCACTTCCTCCTTGCTTACTTTGTTTTTTTTCCGACAGCTTTGATTGTCTTCCCCACCCTGATTGGTTTCACCTGTACCTTGTTATCTTCCTCTCTCTAGAGTATTTAGTGTGTGTGTTTCCTCGACTCTGTGCAAGTTCTTTATGTGTCAAGCGTTCCAGCCATTTCCCTAGTGTTTGTTCTCCTGGTGTTTTTGGAATTTAACTTTGTTTTCCTTGGACCCTGCCTGTCTATTGGATTTTGATTCTTGCCTGCTCCCTATTGGATTTATTTGCCTGTTTAGACTGCACTTTCGGGATTTGACCTTTGCCTGCCTCATCATCCCTGCAAGCCTTTTGTTTATTGACTGCCTCAAGTTGTCTGCATTTGGGTCCAATTCCTTGTGTTCCTGCTTACCCTGCTTGCATTATTGTGACAACTTCTACAATGTGTGAAATAATACAAAAAGTAGATATCAACTTAAGTAAAGAGAACTTCATTCCATTCATAAGTGATCATGTACAACCATAGGAATGTCCCTAGGCATTTTTCATGCTTGTACATAAACATGCAAATATATCTAAAAAATGAAAGTTTCTACTACCAGGGTATGCACAAGTCTATTTAATACATAAAAATATGTGCATCTGCAATCAGGCAAATGAGCTGGAAAATATTGGCAAAAATCAAATTGTGTGCATCCCTAGCTGGAAACCTATTGTTTTTGTTCTCATTCTTCTTCTGATTAGGTTTAACAGCTGGTGCAATAACAGCCAATATCAGTAACTAGCACAACTCAGAAACAGAAATGTAGACCTTTCTGTTGGGAACTTACTCAAGTAAACAGAACCTAATTCTATTAATGTTAATGTTCCTTTTGCCATCCTGCACAAGGTCTGATATCTACATTTTCCAGGATATGTTTTGACATGTCTCACATAGTAGCAGTATTTGTGTCACTACAGATCTTGACTGTCTTCCCTAAAGGTAATAAGTTTGGCTTCCTAACAATTAAATAAGAAACAGGCATCCAAATCCTCACAATCTTGGACTGATTATTGCATCTTGCAGCTATATTTTTGTCTTTTGATCTCTTGTGTCCTGTCCTTTGCCTCTCTTTCTAATGATACAAGCTCAACTAAAGGCCTGTCTCACACTATAGACTATGAGTAAAGTTTAAACTACAGAATTAAAGATTAACAAGGAAAGCTTTGTTTGAATTATTCATAAACTGTGCACATGCCTATATGTGCCTGTGTGTGGGAGGTCAGGTTTAGGTGTACATGACAAGTGCAGCTCTTAATGAGTGTGTGCTATATGGTTGGCAGCTCTTCCATAAATCAGTTAGGGATCATATACTGACCCCCACGTGTCACAGTCTGACAGTTATAACAAATCAGATGAAAATCACTGATGTTTAAATCCTTCCAAAGTGTACCATTAAACTGTATTTTAGTAGAACATGAAATAAGCCTTCTTGTCCAATTAATCCCAACCAGTTTACCTCTAGGACTGGATTTTACTACCAGGCAAAATAAATGTAAAATATTTATCAGTGTACTTTCCTATTAAATGAGGCCAGATCCTGAAGCTTAAGTTAAAGTTCTGGGAAAGTTTGGGCATAATGCTTAAAATCTGAATGGCCTCTCATTAACTGGATCAGGCCAGGAGGAAGCAGGAGAATGTTTCCCGAAAGTGATCATTCATTGCTATAGTTACCCAAGAAGAAATTTCTCGAGGAAATTAACCACCAACTGTAAACTGCCAAAGTATAGGGGGACTAGCATATTTACAATGTTACGTAACTAGGGCACATATATAGGCTACAGGGCAGTACCACATGCATGACAGAGAGGGATACGGTGTAGAAAGGAAGGCGTGCCCAATCATGGGACACTGGGGAGGAATAATCACGTGATGATTGGTCGACTGAACAGCAGAGAACTACAGTAACGCAAGAGCACATTCACTTAGAAATACTGGCGGCTCTCTTCAGGAAAGCAAAGTTAAGGTCTGCCCAAAGAGTCACTAGATTTGTCGCTAGGTGCTGTTTTGAAAGAAAGTCACTAAAGGACTTTTAAAAGTTGCCAAATCTAGCTAGAAAATCACTAAGTTCGCAACAATGGTCCTGACTCCAGCTCCATACTTAACACCCAGACGTACCATTGATATCAATCTTGGAAGGAAAGCGAATAAGTGTATTTTCCAAAATGCTGGTGGTTTGCCAATCTGTGGAGTGAAAAACCTCTTATTCGTTATTACACCGTAAGTTGCCATGATGGTGGCCTTAAAGCTGTTTGAGGCTTTTAACGTGGCACAAACTACGGGCAGCTTTAACATAAAAGAATCCCCTCTCTGTACCTTCCTTTATAAAGGGCTCGTCAGTCAAACCTTTCCTTGTGATTTGAGTGAAGCGCAGGTAATAATAACCTCAAGGAGGTTTGTGCCACAACATTCAAAATAAGATCCAAGCCAATTTCCCAAACTGTCATTGTACCAATTCAAGCGTGACAACAGTATAATTTTACAGCAGACAATGGCTTTGTAGAATCCCTCCTCTGAACCAAAGGTGACTGAGCTCTGGTTACAACACAACGGCAAGTGGAGGTGAGTGAGTGTGTGTGTGTGTGTGTGTGTGTGTGTGGGAGTGTTTACTGTATGTGTCACCTGTGCTATATGATATCTGCTTGCTGAGCTGGGGTCAGTGGCATCAATAAACATGCTACAAAGATCATAGAGCAAGAAAGTGACACACATACACACAGACGTGCACACAC